CACGGAATGAGACTATTGCATGACTGGATAGTCAAAGTCTTCCATTCGTTAGTCATTTCAGGTAGATTAGAACAGGTTTAGGTGAGCGTTGGCCAGATTTGGATTTTTCAGATGTAATCCTGGATAGGACCCTGTCATTGAACGTTGCGTGAAAGTGGAACTTAATGAAGGCCTAAGTACTTTTTCGTAGTTTTTAGTTTTCGGATTTGAAAGATCGTCGGTTACAGTGGCCTGCTTACTGAGCAGAAAAACGCGGTCCCAGGTCCTTACATATCAAAGAGATTTATGGTAAAATCGCTTGTGTATCGTGTATTTTGCGAAACTCGTTGTTGTCGTTGGTTCCGGGTTTGAATGGATACACAAATTTGAGCAACGGTATTATGTGATATGAGGGGCTCGGTGGCCTTAGAGCAACCGTTTTTGCTTACTGAGCAGAACATCATGAGTCTAATCTCAGGCCCATCCACATTCAAGATTCGTCAATCGTTTTATTTGTTAATATGACTACATGGTAATAACAGCAACTCGGTGATTAAAAAGGTGCTCGTCTGCCTAGTGGCAAACGTTTTTGCTTACTGAGCAGAAGACCGTGGGTTTAGTCCCAAGCTCCTTCGCGTTATATGATCGTTAGGACATCAATTCAGCTTATCGTTTACCAAAACGAACCCTGCTGCAAACCCAACCCTCTTATCCAACATCCCAGTGATTCCTCGTGGAAGTGCAGAGGTGTTCTTGGCTTCCATCAAAGCGAGTGTCATGTCAACACAATCCTTCCCATACCTTTCTTGACCTGTGTTCGGGCGCGGCCGGCGCTGGTATTGCCTCATTTAAGATCACCAGTTTTTACACATTGAGGATGATTGCTAGTCCCAAGCATCGTCTATTGGTTCTCTGTGCAGTTACATGGCAGTAACAGAGTAGCAACCGTGGGCGGTCAATCAAGCTCAAGCTCAAGCTCTCTTTCGTCAATAACTCAGTTGCAAACCTTTCCCTGTTGTATTTGACGTTTTTAACGGTAGATAAGAACCTCCTTCATTAAACTATGTGGTAGAATTAACGCAAAAGGGATGCTCCATTAATTATGTCACGCAAATTTGGCCCATTTTCAAGCCCCCCCCCCTCCCCCCTTTATTACATTTTTTGTATGGACCTTAATTGTTTATGTATGGCTCGTCACAGTTTTCAAAACCCCCCCTCCCCCCTAAATGTGTAACATAATTAATGGACGACCCCATATCTGTTTGCATAGCAGTGGCTATGAAAAGAGAAAGTCGATGAAGAGAATCGATCAAAGCAGATAAGACCATTTGAAATGTTCATCGAGATTTCTCGCGTAACATTTGAAAAGGGCCTATCCTCGTTGATCGATTCTCTTCATTGACTTTCTCTTTGGTTTACCACGGCCACATAAACGAATTTCTCGCTAAGCTCGCAGCACAGTTCGGTTTATTCGCAAAAGAGTAAATCGATGAAGATAATCCATCAACAATGATAGGCCCTTTGCTCGTGTTGCGCAAGATTTTGTTTTCGAGTGAGGTATATGTTTTTCGGTGGTGTTTTTGTTGATCGATGATAAAATTGTATATTTTTTTTTTATAAATCTTTATTAAGGAGACTTTCAACCCTGGGCTGGTTCGTCTCCGAATTGTATATGATAGTTTCTAATGGAATTAGATATTTGCAAGCGCTTTGTTCTCGAATTACTGTTGCAATTGTGCTCTCACATTCCCTTTTATTACAAAGTACGACCTCGGTCACTTGTGATGTATTGTTTGGTGGTGACGGTGATGAGGCATTTTTTCACGATAATAGATGGGGTGTTCTATGAAATAATAGATAAAACAAAACGTTCGACCATGCAGTGGTTAGGCTTAGCTGATTGGAGCAAATGAGCAATACAGAATGGAAATTTTATGGTAGAAAAGTTAAGGTGATACTCTAAGGAAGCCTTTGCGTGAAACGTTAAAGGCACAAATGTCAGCTTTCACAAAATATAAAAATTTGTAATTGCTACTCCTTGTTTGCTGTGCTGCTACAAACAGAGAGTAGTAATTTCAAATTTGTATGTTCTGTGGAAGCTGACATTTGTGCCTTTGAAGTTTAACGCTAAGGCTTCCTTAGAGTATCACCTTAATCGCCTCGATCACGATTGGTCTGTTGCTTGGCTTGTACGGTTGGGTACGTGTGATGCGATCGCGATCGAACATGTCGGTTTGGAACTTGATCGATTAGATTTTGATGAGATGTTGTGCGATCTAAGATGTGTTTTTTTACAATCTACAAAATACACGAAAAAACACCAACCTTCCCAGCAAAGTTTCCCAACTATGCCACTGTTGTTTATTTCTGATGGAATTATAGTTTAACAAACGATTGAACATAATTTCTCTTCAATTGAATACGATAAAGGGGGGTGACCCCGGCGTAGTGGTTAGCATCCATACCACTCACGCCAAAGTCACGAGTTCAAATCTCAGCCCCGGACAAGTCACGAATGACCCAAGAGCGTTAAAGTGACTATAATTAAAAAAAAAAAAGAATACGATAAAACTACATCAGCTTAGCGATTAATTGCTTCATTAAAAATTGGTCGAACAACTTCACAGCAGCAGCAACGTTCTCGGAAATAAAACCAACATTATGAGAATGCAAACATGAATGTGGCTGAGTGCATAAACTACCCTCTTACCGCTACGGTTACATTCAAATTAAATCTAAACTTCTGTGGTTTCCTTATTCCGTAATTTCCCATGAACTTTTTGCTACACAGCCTCTCCCAGCACAGTGGCACTCAAGATTTGCTCAGCACGAATCCTTGCGAGTGGTACGGCAATCCCTTCCCGACGTAAACGAACCTGGGGATAACTCGGCTCTTGCAACCGGTTTCACCTAATGCAAACGATTGAAAAGTTAATAAAGTTGCAATAATACCTACATGGAAAGAACTTCCAAACAGCAGAAGGTGGATGAGTGCCGTTTGCCACAACTATCACCACCACTACCACCAGCCCCGAGAAGCAATAGTGCATGCAAGTACGGGTGGAATGGAAATAATGGAAGAAGAAATTTTATTCGATAAGTGTTTCCTAGTATCATTGTTATTACATTTAGCCTATGGGGAAATGGCCATTCCTGGAACGGTAACCAAGATGTGGCTGTGCAGCAGCAACGGCAGATCAAGTACATAATGAAGTTCTTTCTTTTGCGGTGCTCGATTCCCACAGGGTTGAGGGCAATTGTTCTAAGGAAATGAAAGAGATAATTTAAAACTCAAGAAAAGCGAGAAGGGAAGGTGAGCTTGGAGGTGCATTGGATTGTTTCTTAAACACACAAGTGGCTGGTAATAAGCCACGTAGGCACCTTAGAGGGGGGTTTGTCGAGTGTCTACAGTACATACCAATTTTGAAATGGATGGGGGGGGGGTCAAAAACCTCTCAAAAGCTGTCTACGTAGTTTATGAACAACCCCCTAATAGAACTGCGGTGAATGTTATGCAGTTTACTGGCTAGCTATGTGCGCCGTATGGAGGAAGAAGTTTTGCAAAATTTGAACCAAGGCAGTGTTTTAGTTTCAAATATCCTAAATCAATCCTAAATCACGATCAAATTATCGCCTAATGCCTCCAGTACTGTAAATAAATAATTGAATGCTGCTTACACATTTTCAATCGGAAAATTTCTAGCCCAGACCGTGCAATCGAATCGGAACAAACTCTACTGACTAGATGCTAGCAGAGACCCTTTATTACGGTATTCAACGTGTTGTTTCTGGTTTTGTTCGAAGCTCTCCTGGTTTCCCAAACTGGGATCCTAATCTAAACATAATTAAGATATGCTTGTTACATCTCGCTTTTACCACCGCCAAAACACTCGCCTAATGAATGAATGCATGAATGAGCGAGCAAAGTTTCTCCTCGGTAACAAGTTCCTAAGAAGCAAAAAACCAGTTGTTTGCACCGTGGTTTCCATGCTTTTGCTGCTTCCACCCACGCAAACACCACTGCCAGATTTAGAAACAAAGCCAAGCAAACAAGCTATACAACCAGCTTCTTTATCACCAATTTCACTATAAAAGAATATAATGGAACGAAGAGCACACAAAGTACTACTTTCTAAGTAACGACTCCCGGCGAAATAGATTCTCTAGACAACGATCTTGTTTACTCGAGTCAGGATTTGTTTTGTCTTTCCAAGAACGGGAACCCTCTCTCGCTCATTGATGAGCGATTCAAGTGGAATTAATTATAGAGTTGTTTCTGATAGGTACCTAGCTACGGTTATAATGCAGTGAAACGCGTAATCCTATCCAATTTCCGGGGATAGCAATCTTGGAAGTCTTGGAAATGGATTGTGCGGGAAATTTCTTTTGATTGCAAATTTTGGCAAACTTGGTGAGGAGTACATGGCACATGGTCATAGCATCAGAGCCAAATTTGAGTTCAATTTACTCATTTTCATGAAAAACCACGTTTACTCATACACAGCGATCAAAAGTTGTGGAATATTACGGCTCAGCGGGTTTTTCGAAAGCACTTATAGAAGACGTATTATAATGAATTCAGACTTTTGACCAGAAAGTGAACACTGGAGGCCACTGCGTGACCTGGATTGGTGGTGCACTTTAAACAAAGATAAACTTTCAAATAAAGAGTGTTAATGTTTTAATTTTTCTGCAAAAAATTTTAAATTTTTAAATGTGTATGTTTTTCTGGAAAGTTTTTTACAACTTTGTCTCAGATTTCATTTCGATCTGATCTGATTAATTGAAAAATATCGTGCACTCCAATTTGAAAAATTGAGCGGCAGTCCAAATGGTAGAATTGTGGCACAAACTGGTATTATTGGCCTTAGCGAACAATTAAGTGAAGTTTCATGAATTCGGAATGGGAAACATAAAACCGTTTCGTCAGACGGTGTGAAACTGCTCAGAATTTGATCGTTTTAATAGTACTGTGAAAACTTTTCGCAGTTGGGCATTACCAGCCACTCGGCAGTAATTCCTTAAATAATTAGGTTTATTGCTTGAACAACGACGGGAGAAATGATTCCGAGAGGGTCGAAGAGTTGAGCGATGGTCGAAAGAATGGTGCGCTTCGTAGGTGTTTGGTTGTTGACGATGATAGATGTATCGAACTTGAAAACGTCTGCCTCAGGTTCCCAACTGATGCCGAGGGTTTTGATGGTCTCTTCGGGGCCGAACTTGATGGAAGATTGAGTGCCAAGAAGCTCTGGAGGAAGACCATCCAAGACCTGCAGTGAATTCGAGCACCACTTCCGCAAAAGAACACCACCCTTCTGCAGAAGCTGCATCAACTCCGTGCGCAACTGGATTGCGCCATCGATTGTGTTGTCACCGGTAATGAAGTCGTCCACGTACACATTCTTCCTCAGTGCCTTACTTTCCTTCGGATATTCACTTCCATGATCTTCAGCTAACTGCAACAGGGTTCTCGTGGCTAGAAACGAAGACGGCGCGAGTCCATACGTAACGGTGCACAGCTCATAAGCTTGAACGGTTCCGCTGCTACTGGGTGGCCACAGAATCTTCTGCAATGGCCGATCTGTACGGTGCATCAATACCTGCCGGTACCTCTTCTCCGCATCCGCCACTATTGCGATCTTGTCGTCCTGAAGAACTGGCCCAACTAACAGCGCATCGTTGAGAGAATCTCCGGTGCTAGTTTTTGCTGAGCTATCGAACACAACTCGAACCTTGGTTGTCGTGCTCGATTGTTTCACCACGGGATGGTGCGGGAGGTAGCAATTGGTTGATCCATTTTTATCGTCATGGGGAGTGAGAACCATATGGCCGAGACTGATATATTCTTCCATGAACGCGTAATACTGAGCCTTCATTTCATCATCATTTTGCAGCCTCTTGTCCAACCACTGTAGACGCCGCATTGCCATGGCTCTGGATTCCCCAATCATCTGGTCACATTAGGGATGTTTGGGCATCCGAACGATATATCGTCCGGTAGTATCTCGGGAAACTGTCGGCTGATAGAAATCCTCGCAATTCTGCTTATCTACGGAGTAATTTGAGCCACTTAAAGGGCGAACACGAAATTATTGCGAAACCGAAAATGTCATGCCAATTTTCTTATAATGTTAACCAAAATTTTAGGGTGGTTTTATACATATATTTACTTCAAAAATCAAAAGAAAAGTTAATCGATGGAGCCTTGAGTGTAAAATTGAACGCATTTTCGCTTGATGTCCTCCATCAAAGTCTTTACAGTGTCATCCGGTACCAGTTTCTCAGTTTTTTTTTTTCCATTTTCTTAACATGTCCTTCTCGTCTCTGACTGTCTTCTTGCTCTTCCGAAGTTCCCGCTTGATTATTGCCCAGTACTGCTCCACCGGGTGCAGCTCCGGACAGTTTGGCGGATTCATGTCCTTTGGAACAAAATGGACAGAATTGGCCTCATACCACTCCAGGACACTTTTAGAATAGTGGCATGATGCCAAATCTGGCCAAAATAGCGGAGCTTCGTCGTGCTGCTGCAAGAACGGCAAAAGGCGCTTCTCGAGGCACTCAGATTTGTAGATCTCGCCATTTACTGTGCCCTGTCACGAAAGGCTCACTCTTCAGTCCGCAAGAGCAGATGGCCTGCCAAATGAGATATTTGGAGGCGAACTTCGACATTTTCTTCTTCTTAAATTTGTCGTCCACATCGAACTTGCTCTTGCCGGTGAAAAACTCCAACCCCGGAATTTGCTTAAAATCGGCTTTTATATACGTTTCGTCGTCCATCACACAGCAGCCATATTTTGTCAGCATCTTCTCGTAGAGCTTCCGTGCCCGAGTTTTAGCCGTCGATTGTTGCCGCTCATCACGGTTTGGGAAGTTCTGTACCTTGTATGTATGTAGTCCAGCTCTCTTCTTTGCATTCTGGACGTAGCTCTGCGACATGCCGATCTTTTTAGCCAAATCACGGCTTGAGACGTTGGGATTTGCTTTAATCATCCGCTTCACCTTTCCCTCCGTCTTTTTGTTCTCCGGTCCCGGTTTTCTTCCAGCTCCTTTGCCGTGGTCCAACGTCAACCACTCCTGGAACCGCTTCAACACTCTGGAGACGGTTGAATGGTGAATGTTCAACATTTAACCCAACTGCCGGTGCGACAGGTCAGGAAATTCCAGGTGCTTGGAAAGAATTTGTTCTCTCAACTCGCGTTGGTTCACCTCCATTTTCGTTGAATCGAAAAACACGACTTCGAGTTTGACAGCATGTACACAATACACATTAATGAGAAAGTGTGCAAAATTTGGTTGATTTTTACCCAATGATAAAAAAGTTATGCCCTGTTGAATGTGTTGCAATAATTTCGTGTTCGCCCTTTACTTCCTCGATCTGCCAAAATCGCTGTAGCAGTTCATCAACCGGTACAACTGTCGCTACATGACAAGTTGCTATTGGCTGCTGGGAATTACCGCTGGACTCATCGATCTTTCCAGAGGCAATCCACCCAAACACGGTTTCGACGAATAGGAGACTTGGGAGGCGGAACCGTTTATTCCGCTAAAAAGGAAAAGAAGTGAGCAGCTCCAATGATAATGTCCATCCTACGAGGTGTGCCAAAGTTGGGATCCGCAAGTGGAAGATCGTTGGGAAGCTTCAGTTCAGATGCGTTGAACGGTACGGATGGAGTGTCACTTTCCGCAATACAAGGAAATCAATCACCTCACGAAAGTCGGACACACGCGATCGAACCTCGGCAGATACTTCATGCTTGGCGTTCGTAACGGTCCCATCTACGCCAGCGATCGGCACGTTAACAGACCTACGGTTCAGGTGAAGTTGCTGACAAAGACGCTCGCTAATCGCATTCGGTTGGGATCCAGTATCCAACAAGACACGGGCGATGTGCTCTTGACCGTACGCATCTACTACCAGCAAGACTACGGTGGTCAGGAGAACACTGGTTGATTGAGCCACTGCCATCGAGGACGGTGGTTCGTTGACGGGAACAGCGGAAACGGTGGCAAGCATAGTGGAAGAACCTGGATTGGCAAGTCCAGATACTGAATTTTCATCGGTGGTTGGCAAGTTGAGCTCGTATGGTCCCGAATGGATCATCGAATGATGTCGCTTCGAGCAAGGCTTGCATGAATACTTCGAGCGACAGTTGCGGGCAAAGTGATCACTACGGAAGCAGTTGCTGCAAAGTTTCTTGTCCGTAGCCACCTTCATACGACCTTTCGAGTCGAGACCGTTGAAAACGGAGCAATCGAAAATGGAATGCTTCTGCCTCTCACAAGCAGGGCACATCGGGAACGATTTTGCTGCAATTTCAGTTGCTGCATTTGCGCTGAATCGGGTCTGGTTTGATTTTTTCGGAGCTCAAGGATGATTAACGGACTTGGGATTAACATGCTGTGGTCCGTTGATAGAAATCGTCTCAAGTACGCGCGCTCGCTTCTGCATAAACTCGACTATTTTGGAGTACGTAGGGTGTTCCTCCGTTGCGATTGATTCTTCCCATGCTGTAAGCGAAGCGTCGTCCAACTTGTCCTCGAGCAGCTCGATGAGGATTGAACTAAACTGCTAGACTGGCTCACCAAGTTGTTCCAAAACTTTGGTGTGGTGCTGAAACTCGTCCACAATTCGATGAAGCGCTTCCACGGTGTTACTCTGGATCTTCGGGTACTTGAGCAGGGCTCGTATGTGTTTTTTTTTTCCGGAGAATGGCCTTGTTCGAGTAACGATTCATTAACGTCTCCCATGCGACAGCGTTCTGCACCTGCGATATCTCCGTGGACGAATGTATCGTCGACAGAAACGTATCGTGAAATGTCAGCCAGTTTTTGAAATAGCCATCGAACTCTGGCAGTGATATCGTCGGCAGCTTTATATTGGCGAGGGTGGTTGGAGCAGCAGGTGCGGTAGAGGGACCAGCAACGGCAGGAATGGTCGTAGGCGGTAACTTCGTGGCTAGGCCTGCCTTCACACGGAAATAAACTTTTTCTACCTTTGCTCTCAGCTCCAAGTTCTTTTCCAAAGATTCTTCGGAGTCATCCAGATCTTCACATTCTTACTGCAGGGTCTCGAATACGTCCCACACCTTCTCCGGACGATCCAATCGATGGGAAACTTCATGCTGATGCTGCTCGGGAACGTAGTCGGTGAGAAACTGATCTAATCGATTGATCCCTTCGATGGCATTCCTTCTTCTAGCCTCCTTCATCTTGATCCGTTTTTCGTCAGGCATCTCGTAAACACGGCACAAGCAGTTAGGCTAAAATGGTCAAAAAAGACCCAAGAAGCACCACGATGATGGACGTAGAAGTATTGGAGAGGTACTTGCCTTGTACCTCTTAGAATGAGGCCTTTTGTTTTCAAAATCACGATCCGGGAACAGTTTTTCCAGTGGGTACGAGCTGAATTGGGCCACTCTAATGCGGACACAATAGCGTCGAAGTGAGGTTACACTGACGACTTCACGCGGTCGGGAATGGGACACCAGTAGGGGAGGACAGTACATAACGCACCCCCGGGGTAAGACGCACTTTTTCATTTTATTTTGAGTTTTTCTTGGAATTTTTAATCCAATTCAAGGATTTATCATGCAGGATTTTGAGTTCAGATGCTATGCTAGAAGTGCTGCTTGATAAGACAACAAAAAAGTTACGTAAAAGCCATGAAAAACACAAATGAAAGTCAGTTGGTGCGTTCTGCCCAGGGGGTGCGTTCTATACCATTCTCCCCTATCCTGGTCACGGCACCAAATGATGGGCAACGGTTTGACTCACCAGGCAATTTTGCGGGACGGGCTTCGGGTTTATATGTACCGGGACGGGTTTCTCTTCTTCTCTATTCCTTACAGGTGATGTAAAAGCGATAGCAGTGGCAGCGGCAACAGCAAAATATACAGGTGAGACGACGATCAGCATAGGCTCCTCCGGTTGCAGCAGGTAGGTGTCATCCAATAGGGGAGGCTCACTTGCCTTTCTTACAAACAGCAACGGAATCACACACGACTGGAACCTAACGCGCGACGGGTAAAAATCGGGGAAAAACTCGGGAAAAACGCACTTTTCGGGAATAGCAAAGAAAAACAACTTTTACTTTCAATTGCTTCCTACGTTGTGTATTGATACATAATGGGAGATGATTGATGCAGAACAAAGGCAAAATGTAAACAACACCAAATCCAATTAGATTGCTGGGTGGAATCAGCGGAAAACGGAACAGTAAGATATTTCATGGGTACAGTGATAACTGCATTTTAACACTATCAACAACAATCAACTTACACAAACGGCACCGGTGGTGTAGTGGTAAGCGTGATTACCTCTCACCCCAGCAGGCCTGGGTTCAATCCCAGTCGGCGCCGCCGGGATGTTCTGAGGCATAACATCTCTGATTACGGGAAGTAAAGCCGTTGGTCCCCGGTTCATGAGTTGATGGGTCGATAGGTAGGGTCCAGGTGTGGGAGCTGCCTTCCTGGCACGTCGGTAGCATTGGTGCTCAGCACGGAAAACAAGATCGACGGAAAAAAACAAACCAAAGGAAAAAAAAAAGAAAATCAACTTACAAATTGGTTTTAATCAATCTGCTGGGAACGCACTTATATTTCTATTTTCAACGAGCTTTGGTTTTAGTATCTGTTAGGGTTGGACAAATTCGGTAAAAGTTGCGGTTTTTGGTTGGCAATATTTAGTTTTCCTCTTCATACAAGATATTTATCGACACAGGGTTCTTCTATTAGATTGTATCAAATTTTATACTATAACATAAAATTTTAGTTTAAGACAATAAATTAACCAGATCTTAGGAATTTAAACGGTAAGTAGTATTTAAACTAGTATATCAATCCACCCATCTACGTTTTGTTAGTAGTAATTATCGAAATATTGGAAAATTTAACTAGAACTTAAAAATCGATTGCACGTTTTTAGCTTTTTC